CACGTGTACCGAGGGCAACTCTGGACCGGTTCCGTTCGACACCTACGTCTCCTGTCAGCCGCCGGTGTCATCTGGATGAACCACAACATCCTCCACGGCCCGGATCCGAAAGAGGGTCCACAAGAGTTCGGTGAGACAGAGCACGGTTTTTAGCGTTTGATGCAGTTCTCTGATAAGACCTAAGTTTATCCAAACCATCACTTCACTCAGACACCTGTTTCTTCCTGAAGCAAAATCAGACTCGCACACGCATTCATGTCACGACATTCTCAATCTTCATAAATTCACCAGAAGGTCTATTTGAGCAAGAACAGCATATCAACTGTTAAAGATTGTCCCACAAAGTTGCCAATGTTGATTGTTATTTCCTGTTTGTCAATTTTCAAAATCATTAGTTTAATTTGAAGAATTAAAACTTTTAATTGTCAAACTGGTTTCCTCATTGAACTGAAACACAGACACACAGATATTATCGTCAGTTTATCGATGAAAACAACCTTTGAGTCTTCTGAACAATATAAAATTTGGTTATTGATTTATTAAAAATTAATATTCCGAATTAATACGTAGCATGGTTCCTCTTTCATAAAAGAGCATAAAACCACAACGCTACATTAATGGTGCACTGTAAAAAAAATTCCGTTGTTTTTACAAAAATAATTTTGGCAGCTGTGGTTGCCAGAAAAATTCTGTAAAAAATACTTTGAACACGTAAACAGTTTTACTGAACATACAGTAATTACAACATTGTTTACTTGTAAAATTTACATATTGTCTCATTATTTAATACACATTTTGAGTGTGATTTTATAAGGGATATTTTGTTAAAGTAAACATTTTTTACTGTATTTTTAACAAAATATCCCTTATAAAAATCACACTCAAAATGTGTATAACTTAATGAGACTATATGTAGATTTTACAAGTAAACAATGTTGTAATTACTGTACGTTCAGTAAAACTGTTTACATGTTCAAAGTGTTTTTTACAGAATTTTTCTGGCAACCACAGCTGCCAAAATTATTTTGTAAAAACAACGGAATTTTTTTTACGGGTGAATTACACAATGTTTTTCTGATGAATTAACCTGATCATGCTGTTATTTTATGCCTTTTTCCAGTTGGATTTACAATAATGTTTGTTTTGTTGTGCATTAAATTAAATTCAATCTTACTGAAAAAGACCTTGCATAACAATAGAACTGTAAAAATACCAGTGCAAATTTTTAAATACTTCCTGAAATTTTTATTTAAATTTGCTTACAATCTTTTTCTTTTTAGTAATATTTAGTTAGGCATATGTAATAATATTTCTAAACAAACTACGATAGCCAACAAACGTTCACCACCTAAACGCAACTTTAAAGAATGAGGCTTTAGATAGAGAATCACTAATGAAAAAAATAAAAAACGTACACTTGAATACCTTTCAAACTTTTATTTTGAGCCTAATTTCACCAACTGTAAAAATATGTGGAAAAGTTTTAAGGTCCACAATTTTCTTACAAAGGAAAAAAATACTCTGCTGTCATGAAGAGCTTTAACATTCTAATAATTTCAGAACTCAACTTTCTAGAACAGTAAACATACTACCACTAAAAATCAGTATGGATTTGCTACAAAGCAAGTACAACAATGGAGAAACTGCGAACACTAGAATGCAGTGTAAATTTTTATGACGTTACTTCGCAACAGTCTCATAGTTTGAAAACTTTTTTTTTCTTTTTCGACTTTTGTCCAGTTGCAGACATCACACCATTTGTGATCTGAAAGTTCTTGAATCAAGGTGAGGACCTTGGGGTGCACATTATTTTTCCTTTTTTTTTTTTTTTACAAAGGACAAAAAAAAAATACTCTGCTGTGATAAAGCAAGAGCTTTAACAGGCCATTAATTTCAGAATGCAACTTTCTAGAACAACAAAGGTACTAGCACTTAAAATCAGAAAGGATTTGCTATAAAGCAAAAACAAAAATAGAGAAATGGTGAGTCTAAACTCTTATGTGGTTACTTCTTTACAACAGTCTCAGTCATGGTTGGAAAACTCACTGACTTTAGTCCAGTTTCAGACATCACGCCACTCATGATCTGAAAGTTCTTGAATCAAGGTGAGGACTCGGGGGTTCACATGCAGTCTGGATTTGCCGGTTTCTTCCACTTTGGTGCCCTTTTCCGGGTTGATAGAGAAGAAACACCTTAAGACAAGGAAGACAAACATAAAACTACATCAAAATTTGATTCACGAAGCACTGAACTTTAGATTTAAAGACCAAGTTCACAGACAAATAGTTTTGTACCTTTATTTGTATTATGACTGGTCACTGAGTTTAACATTAGGGCCAAACATGAAAATGGTCTACCAGTATCTCCTGAGCCCTTTTCAGACAGACATTCTGAAACATTTGCGGACAATTCAATCCGGTTTTTAATCGGAACTGTGTTTTCAGACACACCACTTTTGTACCAGAACTTGTCCTTTCGGCTGCCTTCACACAGCAAGGAAAAGTTCCAGATGTCTGACGGCGGCGGGGGGTGGGTGGGTGGGGGTGGGGGGTAGAATCAGACTTATGTTAAGAAGAAGAAGAAAATATCATTTCTATAGCGCCTCTCAAGATAAAAACCACGAGGCGCTTAAGCATAATTCTGCGCACACGAAGACGCATAAGAGACCTGGATGATGAAGCTCAATGGTTAAAGGAATCACTGAAGCGGTGTGAAGTGCTCCGTCGCGCGTCTAGACGGTACCGTAGGAGGCGAGCTGCCGTGGTTTGCCGCATGCTACAGCAGCGGGCTATCTAGGTGCGCACAGCGTCCCCCGGTCCCCTCCTCCTCCCTCTCCCTCTTGTCCGGAACTCTACCTCACCAGTCTGAAGCAGCCACCCTGTCCGTAACAAGTCCGGACCTGTTACTAGGGGCTTCGTCCGGATAAATTCCAGGAACACGTTATCCGGATGTTTGTATTCAGACACAAAGGTCTTACGGACAGAGTCCGGAACATTTCCGTTTTTCATGGCCTGTCTGAAGGGGGCTCTGCATTAGCTGTTAATGAAAAATAGACCGGGAACACTAGGATTAGAAAATTCAGACAACTGCACATCACGTTGTAAAGTTAGCATTCATGGACTTGGCCATCTTGGCTCATGATGGGGAAGGCGCTCCATGGCCAGCCAAGAGACATAGCATGGGAGTTGGCAACAGGAATCGGGTGAAGAAAACAGCAGAATTTGGAGACTTACATCATAATAATTGTGCTAGCTCTGCATTGTTGATGCTTTATCTCCACAAAGAACACAAGCCTTAAGGAGTTGTGTTGTGGAGTTGCTAATGCTAACTGTTAGCTTCTACTAGTCAAGATGTGCTCAGCTCACTTGTGGATGCTAAACCAACAACAGCTGCCCTTCTTATGAGAAAAGAAAGGTTGAGTCCATGAATGTAAATTTTCAGTGTGATGAAGATCTGACTGGCTTTTCTAATCTGAGCATTTTCCTTTGTCTATTTTCTATCAGAAGCAAAAGCACAAGATCGAGGTAGAACACTATTTTCACTTTCAGCCTGCATGAAAAACTCTGTGACCAATCATATTTCAAAACTAACCATTAAAAAAAATGTTTCTCCGTATACCTGCTCTTCAAACTATAAGCAAAACAAAGACATGGTACATTCTTCTGCAAACCTTTTTTTTTGTAAATCACATCTAAAAACATACCTCTGCAGAAACTCCAGTGTGCACGCTAGACCTGATGGGTAATGAATGTTCAGGCAGTAGTAGCTCCCAAACATCATGCAAAATGCAGAGATGAAGCAGGAGACGTTGTTGTGCCCAACTTCTTGATCCACACTCAACATGAACCGTTTAGCATAATAGCAGGATCGCCCTAAAGAGAAAACAAGAGAAAATTAAGACTTCTGATACAATAATAATATTTATATAAAAAAATAGAGAGAATAGTATAAAGAAAAACAATGGCATAGTAAGGTTAGACAAAATAATAATAATAAAAAAGAAAATATAAAGAAAATGACAGAACACAAATATCAAGTACAGAGGAAAGACATTAGAACATTGTCAAAGCACAAACAAAATATGCAAGACGAATTAAAGAAAACAAGACAAAAATCAACCAGAAAAAAAAACAACAACAAAATATTCTGAACTTACCACACACAATGACGGTAGGTGTCATGGGGACATTTTCCATCTGTACTTCTTCAGCCAGACATGTGTCCTCCACATAGAAAAACATTGCTTCTTCCTTTTCATCAAAGTAGTGAAGAAGTAGGAGCACCATCTCTTTAACATCTTCGGAAGAGCCGTCCAGTTCTCCTCTTATCATCTTCAGCTTTGTTTGAGCCTGGAAAAACCGTTTGTTCTTGTTCACACAAACAGTGATCATGTAGTTTAGCAGTCGTTTTCCCTTCAGATCCATGTTCCGCATGAATGTTTCCTTCAGTCCAAGCCCAGTTAGTCCTTTGTAGTGGACAGCCATGCCAACTTCTTCAAATAAAAGTGGCCACTCTTTCAAGATCTCTCGGATGCTTTTCCCCTGGTTAACATCTTTGCGCTGTGTGTAGAAAGTTGCCTTCATTAATTGCTTTATTTCCTCAGGATTTGCCTCCTTTTGGGCACACATTGTCTTAAGCTTTTCCTTCTTCAGCTGCTGGCTTTCAGGGGTTTCTCCAAGTGGCAGGAATTTTACATCCCAGTTGATGCATCCATAAGTGTCTTGAACCGAAGCTCGCTGTTCTGGAGTAATTTCATCAGTGTCTGAGTTTTCAGAGCAGTGCTTTCGCTTTCTTATTTTGGGAACTGCAGATCGCTTCACGTTCTCTAGTCGATATTGCAGTTGTTTGACCAGAGAATGATAGCCAGGGCCAATGACATCACCCTCGATGACGTCTTGTAGAGATTTTGGATATTTTGCCACCATCTTTTTTGCTACTTCTGTTGAACTTCTTTTACCTATGGAAGAACTTTTTTTCATCATTTCTGATACCACAATCCTGACCATCTCCCTCCTCATTTTTGGACTTGGCCGTTTTCCTCTCTCCAATGACTGCATCAGTTCCTCTGGAAACTTTCTCCATGGTATCTCAAAGGTATCCACCCAGTCGATTTCAGATGTCTGGTTGCTGTTGGAGTTTGATGACACGCTCAGTGGGGAAGAAGAATGCAGAGATGCAGGAGTTTCTGGTGAAGTACAAACTGGAGACCTGCTGCTTTCACGATCCTGGTCTTAAGAGCACATATAAAACACAAACACATACAAGCTATCAGAACTGACTATGAATATCATGTTTGCAAGTGATTGTGTAAATTTTTTTTGGGCAGCTAATGTTTCTAGTAAGACATTTAACTTACATCTGGATTTCCAAGCAGCAAGGGCTTTTCTGGCTTGTACTGGCCTCAACGCTGATAGCAAGTCATCCTCGGCAATAAATTGGAAGTCGTTGTAAGTTTCCACTCCAATTGACTTTAAAGTTTCTTCGAGGATTTCTTTTGAAACCTCTGCGAGGTCAGGCAATACGTCATTGATAGCACCACGTAGAAATGTTTGTTCTGCCATTTCTGGAATAAAATAGACAAGATTTTAAGAGAGACGACAATAATTTTAATTAAACATTTAGTGAACTATGTACAGATCAAAAAGCCTTCCACTTAATGTCAAATATATCATATCTGTCTCACACTTTTTAGTTATGTACATCCTTAAGTTTTTATCAATCTTTTCTTTCCCTGTTTTGCTTTGTAGTGGGATTTCCATCATAGTACTCAAAGACTTTTCTATTTTGAAAACACACTGTGTTTCAGAGGAATAAATTGTTGTCCATTTACCTCATAAGATGTCAAAGGGTAAAAGTCAACCAAGTCATTTATGTTAAGACACAAAGTGCTTGAACTCTGTTTTGTTACTGAATAGAGGTGGTGTTCAGAATGATAGACACCTGTTTGTACATCCACAACAAAATATACTGCATTTTCATTTTGAATGAGGATTAAAACAAGTTGTCCAAACTCCATAGACTCATCATATTTTGATACTAGGAACTGCCCCTTTTTGTACAATGTTCCCTTATATTGGATTTCTGTGGAAACACTTGTATTGTTTTCTGAAAATCCAAGGTCTTTTACTGCCTGTTTTATTGCATCGCTGTACAGGTTGGAGTAAAAAACACAACTGTCGTTGACCTGCAGCAGCCGATTGCAGCTTCTGCCCGCTGAAATGTATGCCTGAAACATCTGATGTCTTTCTGACAGTGTTAGGCATATGTTTTTAAAGTTTTTTAAATGCCTTGCGCATCTCTTAAAGTAGCCATGTTTACTCTCAAAACGCATTGTCCACAACCTAATTAAAGGGCCAAATTTCAAAATTAGTGCTGGATAGTGCCGTAAGAAATGATGTTTTGGTTTAAGAGAAGTTTCAGGGAATAAAGATTTTCGAGCTTCCAAATATTCTTGGATTATTATGTCAAGATAGGCAACTTGTGGCAAAGACATTTTTTGTGCACACACCAAATCAACAATGTCTTTGAGTTGGAGAGTTGTCTGCCAAACATCATCTTGTGGATTTTGTATCTTGTCACCAATGATCACAGGCAAAAGTCTCAACAGGTTCCAGTTTTGAACAGCCTGACCTGAAAGCCTGTTTGCCTCAGAGTTGACTGAGCATGGCTTTGTGAGAGCATCTGATCCTTTGTACTTGAACTGTTTGATTCGCCGGTTCAACAAGGAATAAGTAAACCATTTCTTTGTTTTTACAAAATATTTCAAGTACAGTGCTACATCATATGACAAGATGCCCTCAAATAAGTCATGGCCTAAGCAAGGTGGAAGGCCAGGTTCACAGACATGAAAAGACTTTAGTGAGTTAAACTCAGAGTTTACCTTGACTCCTTTGACGTCTTGATTGCTTCCAGTTTGTAGATGAAGGACAGCAGAGTTGTAAGCTTCAGGGGTGCGCTGTGGACCACAAGCATTTGGATCATTTTCAAAGTCTTTACGTGTGATTTCACAGTACCTACAAAAGTACTTAGAGGTACTAAAGTTTTCAGTAAACCCGCCGATGCTGTGTGATCCCAAATTGTCACCAGCGATACAGAAGAGTGCTCCTTTGATAATTTCTTCACCTGCAACAATGCCGTTTTCCTCTAAATCTCTTAAATCCATGAGAAGTTCTGAAAAAATCTTAGCAGTTCCAAACTGTTTTAAATCTTTCTCTGCACACAATGAAACAAGAAACATGTGATCAGTGCTTGACCGGACATGAACAGGTAAGTTAGCCACAGATAGATAAACAGCAACAACTTTGTGTTTCTTTTTAGCTGAACCAAGAGGATTTACAATTTCGAAGGCATCTTGGTACAGAATGAGTTTCAGGCACCCAGGATTTTCAATGAAGAACTGGTTGCACTGAAAGTTTTGTCCATCACTTATGTCATAGAAAACATCAGAGTTTGTTTCACTGGACTGTTGTAACACTGAATTCTTCCATAATTCTGATTCTAAAAGTATACTTAGTGTCTGTTTAATGGGTATGTAGTAGTAAAATCTCTGAGTCATGTTTTCATCATTCCCTAAATTAATTTGTTTTGGTTCTGTGTATTTGAACACTTTTTTGAATGTATGTGCTCTTGAATATGTTGTTCTTAGTGGTCCTCGATGACAAACAGAAAAAAGATCTGAATCTTTCACGCAGTCACATACTTTAGCAATAACATCATCTGCTAGACAAATGTCATCTTTTAAAAGTGACTTCAGTTTACTCAAAGTGTAATCCATTCCCAGCTCATGTACGTTTTGCATCTCTTCAACGATGGTCTGTATTGAGGATGCTGGTAGAAGCAGCTGTCCTTGAAGTTTTAGGTAGAAATGACACAAATTTCTGAGGAAAGCCTCACTGAAATTCGGAGACAATTCATTTGTCAGTGTGCCATTTGGGCTCTCGCCTGGCCCATCTTCTTCTGCCTCACCACAAATCTGAAATGTGCTTTCCTTGTACAAAGCATCAATATTGAGCGCAGTAAAGCCTCTATGTTTACGGGACATATGAGCTGTGAATGACGATTTAACAGTAAAATTCTTTTTACAGCCTTTTACTGGACACGCAACAGGCCGTCCCTCCATTATATGCTCCTTTAAATGAGCAACAAGTTCTTGCACGGTTTGACTTTGGCGCCCACACAACGAAATGGCGCACTTCAAGTTTTCAACAACGGCTTTAGCTGATTCAGGATGTGAAAGCACGTTGTGAACTCGGTAAAAATGAGTTTTAAATGCTGCATATGTACAAAATGTCCGTTTGCATTCAGTGCCGAGGCATTTGAATAAACAACTAGGTTCGTTTCTGTGCACTCTGCAGTGCAACACATAGCCCCTCAGTGACTGTAAAGTTTTACTGCAAAATGTGCAGACAAGCATGTTTAAACAATGCTAGAAAACTTCAAAGTGCTACAGCTCCGGTAAAGCTAAGCTAACTAGCTTTGCTGCACGATGAAACAAAAAAGAAAAAAAATCCCCTAAAAACAAACCACTGTGCTTTTTACATTTTAAGGAAATGAAAGTTAGCTTACAGACACTTGACGTTGACGTGGTCCTGTGGGTCCTCGGGAGAAAATTTTCGGGCGGAATTCAGCCTGAGTCAGAGCCGTTAATTCAAACTTCATCCAAACGGAAGTCACGCGAGAACGAGGGCAGAACGGAGAGCTGGAAGAGTGAAGTGTCTTCTGCCATGAGCTACATACCTTACAAATCACTAGCCTTGCACCTATATTGGCCACAGTGGGGGAAATTTTGAGATTGTAGCAAAGAACTCAGTATAATGTTCCAGTTGAGTTGGGTGTTGTCTCCGTTTGTGACGGCATGATGTACGGAAGGCTGATGCTGCCAAAAATGAAAAATAGAACAAAAACAAATAAATGAGAAAATACTATTGGAAATAATTAAACAATGACATTATGTCATTGTTTAATTATATAAATAAATTTATGTCATTGACATAAATTTATTTATAATTAAATGTTTTGTTAGAACTTTGTTTAATCTATTTATTAGTTTATTTCTTTCTATTTTTAGTTTTAGTTCCTCATTTATTTATTTATTTCCTCATATATTCATTTATTTACTTTCAGTTTTGCAAAGACAATTGCTTCACTTTGATTTTCTGCATTATAAAATGTATCTTATATCATCGACTAAGGGTAAAGTGAAACGTGATTATTTGCTACAGCCTTTTTGATAAATGTGTTTTATTTAATGCACTTGGGACAAGGAAATAAGGCAAAACTTGAATGCATGAAATCTTTATCTGTTCAAATTATTTTTACAACCACTATACGCATTCTGTTGGAGCCCCTAAAATCCTGGGTCACACAATGACTAATAATCTGTGCCATCACTGGTGGGTTTCTGAAGAGATGAACTGAAGCCCAGTGGGCCAGTCCCACCACTGCCATCTTGGCCTTGTCATCTGTCTTGTCACTCCTGGAAAATGGGGAGCCTAAGTCAAACCCATCTACTTCTGGTTACGTGGCAGAAGCGTTAAGTGTCTGCTCCATGATCAGACAATTGCAGGCTCAACCCACTCAGTCCATCACTGTCATTGGGTAAGGTATTTTTTTGTACCTGTAAACATTATTTTCTGCTGTGTATTTGGCATTTTTAACATGGGACTCAATAGGAACTTGATATCTGGAACCAGCCCCTAGCAGATGAGGAGGGGAACTGCAATTGTTAAAAATGTATTTATTTTTTATAAATTATTACTGAAAATGTAAAATTTCATGGTAACAGGAACACTTAGAATAGATGTTGGTAAGAAATATTGATGAAATAGAAAAAGTTTGTAAACGATACAGAGAATCCGAAACACTATAAATCTGGGCTTTGAAACTTGCTGGATTGTTTTGGTCTGATTTTCATGGAGAAACAAATGTGCTGCCTATAAAATTTGACATCCAGTCAATCAGCCAAACACTAAATTCATAATTTAATAATCACAATACTGTACAGAGAAATGTTGTATCTTTAAAAACAATATAAATTGTGTATTTTTTACATCATAAAAATGTAAAAAAATACAATTTATGTTGTTTCTAAAGTTACAACTTTTCTCTGTACAAATTGCACAAATCTGTGTTTTTCACATGAAAATACAATAGTATTCACATTTTTTATTTTAAAAATTACAATAATTGTCTGTTCAACATTATACAACATCATGCTGTAAAATAAACACCATAACACTGTATTGTGCTCCACAACTTTTTTTTGTTGAGATTTTACGAAATTTTCCTGTTAATTCTACTGACTTTTTTTACAGTGTGAGCCAAGCCAGTTTCTTCTACACAATACACACCCATCTTTCAGTCTTCAGGACCAAAAATTAAACAGCAGATCTGTGATGTTGACAAATGTAATTGCAAAGGCAATTACGTACATTTTTTTACAGGTCGGGCTAATGTGCACTCAGCACACTAAGGGAGGAGAGAAGAAGACACGTCCGATATTTCCTGAACCATCTGGGAGCTGGACCATTGGGTCGTCGTGGCATGATAACTCTGATGTTATTGGAGTCTTGTGACCACAGAGTAGTCCGTTCTGGAAGATCTGCTTGTGCTATTTTTAAGTTAAGGGACGCCTGTGGTTAGAAATAATGGTTATCTGTTGTAACTGTGGCTCTCTGCCCACGTAAAGAGCTTTCTAACAAGGCTCTATGGACTCAGCACATACTGTACCCAGCAGATGGTGTCACAGAAGCAGAATGGTTAGGAGTGTTGCCTCACAGAGAGATGGAGCAGGCTTTGATTTAGCATGCTGGGATCTGTTTACATAGAGATACAGTGATGCTGCCCATGTGACTTACACTTGTGACACCAAGGCATGCCAGGCGGTTTCAAAGAAAATTAACAGACAATCATCTGTTTTTATTTCAAAAGCAGTAAAAGTAATGCAACTTTAAAAGACATTATGGTGGCAAAGTTGTACTCAGAAGATCATTTGTGTGTTTGTTTTGCAGTTTTAAAACTTTAAAACGGTGTCCAGAGGTGAGGTGAGTCTGTGTATCATGCATGTGTTTTTGTCTCTGTCCAAACAAACCCCACTGCAAATGTTAAAGCAGACATGCTGTGACTTTTTAGGTTATAACATTTCTATGGTCAGTTCATTAGGTTCGTTGCACTAAATTCCTCTCACATGAAGCAATTTCAGAAATTCATTCTCGACAGATTCGGTACTTTCCAGAATGAGCAGATTCAGGGTTCTGTCGCTTTAAGAAAACAAGGTTGAGCTGGCCACGCCCACCCATCCCCCACTCAGGCTGCTATAAGCTGAGAAGCTCCAGTATCTTAGAGGGGCTTATCTTAGATCTCCAGTAGCAGCTCTCTCTTGCATTGTAGATGTGGTTCTATTCTAATTTCCCCATTTGCGATGTCATAATCAAAAACCATTTCAAATGGTTTGTTTTGCACACATCCTTCCTAAAACCAAACACTGATACAAAATGGACTGTTTTTTTTTCTTGTTTTAAGTGTTTATAGAGTAGAGACCCACATGGCTGCACAAAAGGATGTGAAAGGTATTGTATGTCCTGTTTATAATAACTTTGGTGGTATTTGTTTAGTACAAACTCTTAGTAACTACAATTTATTGAAGATGTTCAATATTTCAGCTATTTTAATTTTGATATTTGGCCAAAAAAAATGACTACTGTAGAACCGAGCAGGGCCGGCTCTAGGTAATTTGGTGCCCAAGGCGAGAGTGCCCATCCTGATTGATGCTTATTATTGCCAGTCCACTGAGACGTTCCTGAGACATTGTGGATCGCAAATATGTCTTGATTAGCTTGAGCTTGGAGAAGCTTCTCTCAGCAGATGCCACAGTCACTGGAGTTGTGGCAGCAATTCTCAGTGCTATCCATAGATTGGGATATGCTTCCTTAAGGTTTTTCTCCTCAAGAAACACCAACAGTTCAAGAGATGTCATTTTGTGTTTCGGCCAAGTTGGAAAAGATTGCATCTCCCCAATCAGTTCTTCTGCATCCAAATCTGATTGATCTCCGAAGGTCAGGGTGTTGGCCAGTTTTTTTGCTTGGTTCACAAGCTCATCAGCTGGGAGATCAGGGAAGATTGTGAGAACACTAAACTTGCTAGCAATGTCACCCATCATTTCTGTTCTTTCTCTTAGTGATGAAATGCACACATCAACAACTGCATTGAAGAAAGAAATTTCCATTCTCTTCAGTGCATCACTAAGCTGCTCATCGGGAGCCTAGTAGGAAAATTGCCTTTTGGTCACTCTGAGTCTCATCTGTTTTAGGGTAGCAACTACATTCATCTCCTCACACAATTCTTTTGCAGAGGATTGTGCATCAGCAAAACCAGTGTTTCTGTAACTGGCAAAGGAGACATCAACTTTTTTCAGGAGGTCTACAGCAACATCCAAGTGCACGGTAGCAGACTGCAGCAGTTTATTGACATTTTGGACTGTTACCAGAATGTCATACCAGACAACAGTGCAAATGCAGAAGCGGTATGAACCAGCTTCTTCAGCCAAAGACTGTGCTTCTACTTTTATGTTTGGGTCTGCAGTGCTGTCTCTCACCTCAATAAGGGCATCTCTAACTTTGGCAGCCTGAAACCTTACAGCTGCCACACTGTTAATTCGGCTCTCCCATCGTGTATCTGCCCAGGATTTCAGAGTTGTGTTCACGTGCTTTTGTAGAATGGACCACCTTTTAGTGGAAGCAGAAAACAAAGTGAACAGTTTCTGTAGGTAGCCAAAGTATCCAGTTGCATCTGCAGAGCTCTTTGCTGCATCTGAGATAACTAAATTAACAGTGTGTGCTCCGCATGGCACAAATAATGCTCGGGGGTTTCGTTGTAGTAATCTTGCTTGAACACCTGCTTTCTTCCCCTTCATGTTAGCACCGTTATCATATGACTGCCCCCTGCAGTCCTCAAATAGGATGTGTAATTCTTGAAGTCTCCCTAAAGTTAGTTCTGAAAGGCCTTTTCCAGTTGTCTCTTCTGCTTCAAGGAAACCAAGGAAGTGTTCTTTTATTTGTGGAATACCTTCAATTGAAACAATTCTCAGAATCACTGACAACTGCTGTTGGGGTTATTAGGAGCGAACAATTCGTAAGCTTTAACTTACTTTTGGATTCTTCAATAAATTCTGTAAATATGGGAATATTTACTGATTTATTAATTAATTAAGGTATTCTTAGATATACGGGGCACCATTCCCCTTTAACCGGGGAAAATTGAATCCAAAACTCTTATCAGTCTTTCTTGAAGTTCGTAGAATCCTCGGAGCAGAGACTTCTCTTCGACACAACAAAGCTACTGGAGACGAAAATCTGAATTTTATAACGTTTAATTAACAATTTGTCAAATGAATAAACAGTGGCATAAATGAATAATAACCATGTGATATAATAAAAGGATGTATATTCAAAATAATGTTCAAGGTGTTTTGTGTGTATGTATGTGTGTGTGTTTCTAAAATGGAGTCTGTATGCAAGATGGCTGACCCCTTTGTCTGGCTAAAGTGTGGGTGGCAACATGCACTTTAACTTCCAAAGCACTTAGAATCAGTAGTAACTTAACCTTAAATCACTCAAAACATTTCAAAGGATCATGAAACAACACAAAAGATTAATCACAAGTTAATATCTTTTAGTTTATCAGCCTGGCCATGGCCGAAAACATTTAAAGATACCAAACAATGATCAATAAGCAGTTTATTTATTCAAAATGACCCGGCGGACGTGTTTTGGGAGCGAAAGGGGAAGACACAAAGCTACTTTTTAAGCAATAGCACGGTTTTATTGCTTATTCTGGACTATAGAGGAAACGGGAGGAGAAAAGGAGAGAGAAAAATGAGTTTTCTGATCACCAGAAGAGCGAGGCGTCCCTCACTGTTTTGATTTTACGGTTCTCCGTGTTTCTCCACAGTTTTCAGCATCATCCGTCGGTTTGATGCTTTCTCCGTTGTTTGGCTCCACGAGTGTTTCTCCACGGGCTGGACACAAAGAGAACGAAGTTTCTTTTGGGCTGAGTTTGACAACTTACAGCGTCTCTGAGAGCTGGATGGAGCTCCGCTCGTTCCCAGTCAGGTCCCGATGGAGTTGGAGTGGTTTCCAGCGGTTGCGTGGCTCAACTTGGGCATTTAGAGCTTCCGCGTGCTCAAGTTGTCGGAGCGTTCGACAAGCGTGTCCTTACCGCCAGGTATCCTGGGCAAAAGAACGAGGTTCCTTTGTCTTTCCTGATGATTTATAGTCTTAGTTCGCGGGAAAGCTCCGCTGACTCCCACACATGCACAGAATGTGTTTCTGGTATTAGGCGGTGACGTCATCACAATGCTTCCGTGTGCAAAGCATCATGGGAAATGAAGTTTCTTGGCGCTGATGTGATTAATGGCTTTTCAGAGCAATTTAAGCACAGTCATTTTGGAGAAAATCACTGCATAGTAATTTCCTCATGAGGTCAGACCCTCAACATTCCCCCTTTTGGTTTCGGAGATCGCGCCCAAAGCTCGATCGTCGGAAGCACAGATGGGTTTGTTCCTCATGAACGTAGGTTGACTTGATTGTCGGAAGCACAGGTGGGTTTGTCCCTTAGGACGTTGGTCTCCTTGGACGCCTTTGTCTTTGGTCTTTGTCTTGGATCCTGGCGCCTTTGGTCTTTGATCCTGGTCAGGCACAAAGAGGATAGGAAACGGGATAGTCCCCAACGCGCATAACGAGAAGAAGCCACTCACGCAGGTGGTACGCAATGATGATGTCGTCCATGCGAGAGGTAGTAGTGTAGAAGGAGGAAGGTCGGTGGGCGGTTAACTCCACGAGGGGACACAAAGGCATGTCACCGCCGGCCATACAGTTCAGTTTATGGAGCACGCGGTGATGTACGAGGTCCATAGTTCGCAAACGCGCATTGACCTATGTGGTCCCAAGATTCCCCCCTTTTTGGTCCAAAGGGTGGATCAGGACAGTCTTTGGGATAAAACAAGGACCATAAAACTAAGAGGTACTACAATGTGCTGGTGCGTCAGACAGAGTCATTGACAGACTGAGCTGGGCCGGCACATAACCACTAGTTAATATGTGACCAAGTACGAAACAAAAATACAGAAAACCCCCCCCAAAAAAAAAAAATACATATAACATCCAAGAAAATTCATAGCAACCTTGAGGTCTCATAAAATACATTCTTAGGTCATACATTCAGTGTGTAGCTTATAAAGAATGTGACATAATGCAACACTCAGATAAAAATGTGAGGTAGACTAAAGTGAGAACTACTCTTAGGGTTACAAAATAAAGAAAATGTTGCTCACCCCCTTTAGACAGGTGTGGTACATTCACGCTTGGAGTCTCCCCGAACGCGGTCACGAGGCACACCGTAGGTGAGCAAGTGCATCTTATCTTGGAGTTTCTTAACACGCCTGTAGGCGGAATAAGCTACCACGGCCGTGATGAGCCATCCCATCCCCAGGGCAACCAATGTGCAGATTAAGGTCGTGTAATCTGTGTCAATGTAGCGTCTTGGGCGTCAAAGTAAGTTCACGCGGGGTTTGTGTGAACTTAACAAATTTGGTTCCTTCAATCAGTAATTGTTGGTCAATTTCTAAGTCGAAGGCAAAGTTATAACCGTGGAAAGCGTCCATGATCTCAATCTCTGAGTCATGCTGTTCGAGGTTAAGATGATGGAGTGCCAGGTTTCTAGTTCAAAGTGGAAATGCCTACCGTCCTTTCAAATACCAATGTTCAGCATCGACTTAAACCTATAGATGTGAGTTGTCACAATTATGGGAACATGTAACAGGAAACCGAGTTCTAATTTTTCTGCATCAACGTGAATGGGCATTGCACAACCTAGGCTGTACGCTAGGTGGATTTGTGAAAGGTGCACAGTAGAGGGGTAAGTACGGGGAAATACGACTTTCAACCAAGCTGTCCAGCGTGGAACTTACTTCCCTGAGCAGGTCCTACATCAAATCTCTCACCACTCGTGTGTACACAATATCCTGAGGTATCGTTTCAGACAAAGTCTTGATTGCACGTAGAGATTCATTAATCAGAGCCTAGTGTAGGTACCAGAGTACCCTGTAAGGTTTTAGTAGGTACATCCTGTTAGCGGTCTAGGAAGGAGTTTTTCTTGGTTAGTGAAAGTGACGGCGGGGGGGGGGGGGGGGGGGGGGGGGGGGGGGGGGGGGGGGGGGGGCCTGGTTCTTTGTCGGTTAGTACATGTTAGTGGGTTAAACGTGCACTTTCCCCCCCTTTCCATTTCCATGCATAGAACTATGTAGAGACTACGTCTACCTCCTGCGGGGAGTCTGGTCTCTGTACCCGCGGGGATGGTTTGACGTAGGGTTTGATTTGGTTTGCATGCACCCATTTGTAGACAGGTTCCTGTCTCGCTTTGGTGATGCGTAACCTGTATGCAACTGGAGAGAGTTTTGCCACGATCTCAAATGGTCCTGACCAGCAGGGCAGGAACTTCTTAGGTTTGCGTGCCGGTTGGGCGAACCGAAAGTAGAATACTTTGTCACCCACCTCGTATTCGCAGCTGGTTGTCTTTTGGTCGTAGTAGGCCTTGGCGCCTTCTACGTTGATCTCCAGTTTCTTCTGAGCGTGC